TTTCCAGTAAGACATGGCTTAGGAAGGGGTGTCAGGCTTGCTCCATGCCCCTTCCCGCAGGCAGAGCCCCTGGGACAGTGTCTGAAGCTCAGTCTAGGCTGGAGAGCCTGGCCCTTCCTCCAGCAGGAGAGGAGCAGGATGTCTCCAGTACCTAGCAGGATTCAGACGGTGAGTGGGCAGGGGAGCCATTCCCAGTGTTTGGTAATCCTCATGCAATTGCCAGGGAACATAGCCTTTAAAATCCGCGACAGTGTCTGCTGCCGGTCTGTAGTGTCTCCCTACTTGCCCACCCCTGTGCTGATCGCTGCCAGTGCTCGTGAAGTGGGGGAGTTATGGGAGACAAGGATGCTTAATTGCAGAGCAGCCCTGGAAACCAGCAGCAGCAGCAGCACCGTGTGTGTGGCCAGGAGGGGAGGCAGCAGGGCTGTAAATAGAAAACGCGGAGGCAGCCGCGGGGAACAGAGAGAAGGAGGTTTCTGCTCCTGCATCTCTCTGCCTCCCTCCCTTTGCTTCAGCTTCTCTCACCTCTCACGGCTCTCCTGGCACCCAGCATGAACCAACATGCTACGTGCAGACCCTTAGCATGGCCTGGAAACAGCAACTCCAGTGCCAAAACAGCCGGCCAGGGCTGGGAAGGTGGTACATGAGGCCCCAGCAGCCTTCTCACACAGGGAATGCCTCCCATGGAAAGCTGTGAGGAGACCTTACGGCCTCATCAGCCTGCGAGGAGACCAAGGTGAGGCAGACACAGGACCAAACTGTCCTCTCTAGCTACCTGGACCATGCCACAGGATGCCAAGTGGTTAAGCCCCAATCACTCTGCAGTGTCCATAGAAGGAAGTTCTTCTCCCACCCTTGACCTCTCCATTATGGCCTCTTCTAAGCAGCAAAACCTCAGTTTTCAGTATTTTGCAAAGGTTTATTTAAAAATGTTGAAACTAACATCCCACAAGAATTGAATATTTCACCACAAGGAGAAGAGAAATCCTACAAAAATATATATCACAACTCACGAGGGCAGGGGAAGGAGAAAAGCGAGACTGAGCAGGGACTGAGGAAGCAGAGAGACAGGATGGGAGCAGTGGCAAAACAAGACAGAATGGCAAAGAGAGAACAAGAAGGGAGTAGGGAGAGCAAAACAGTAGGAGGGCAGAGATAACTGTGAGAGAGGCTGATACAGGATAGGACGGGGATGCTGGAATACAGTGGGAACGATAGGGAAAAGAGTGGAGAGCTGGCAGACGGCAAAAGAAGCGGGGGCCCCTCTCTCGTCTTGCCAAGGCAGGGCCAGGAGTACAGTAGACATCAACTGGGGTGCGATAAGGGAGCTGGAGTTTAGCCCAGGGCTTCTGTGCTGCAGGATTCAGCTCCAAGGCTGTGCCGCTGACTCGGCGTTCCAAGTGAGATGCAAAAACTACGGTTTAATTCAGAACAAGGTGATCGCATGTTTCTTCTGGGAACAAAATATTCCTTTCCTAGCATTTTTCTGTAACAACAAGGAAATTGGGAATGGAAGGGCCAGATTTACAAGGGCACTTGGGTGCCGTTGAAGAAGAGGTAGATAGCCCTCTCTGAAGAGATAGGATGCTTGGATGGATTTAAGTCCCTGTGAATGGAACCAGAGGAGAGGTGTAGAAGTATGTTGGTGGTCTGCTCCCTTGCCTGCCAATCACAACAAGCCAAACGAGAAAGCGCAGGCAGGATCCGGCCTTGTAGCTCTCCTGGGTAAACAGAGAGAGAAGGTAAAGTTCCTGCTCCAAAGCAATAAAGATCAGAACAGAGAGACTGTTCCCCACATCTCTCTTCTTTCCCTCTGTGGTCACAGAGGGACCACACTCTTGTCCCCTTTTGGAGTTCAGCACAGAAACAGTTCATTTCAGCTCACCCAGTTCACTTGGATATTTCATTGGCCAGAAGTATTTGACAGGCTCAGCCCAACTTTTCAAACACTTTTAGTTCTTGCCCTGTCCTGCTTTCTCTCACATGGGGAAAGTAACTCATCTATTTCACAAGTCATCTGGAAGACAAGAAAACCTGACAGCTTCCAACTGAGAAGGTGCTGGCCTCTTTGCTCTGGCTTTGTACTCTGTGCTGTCAACCTGTCCACATGCGAATCTCATGGTATATTAGCTTGGACCAGGGAAGAATACTGCAGGTGTGCTTGGGCTGCATTTTACATACATGAAGAATGCATGGAGAAAACAAATTCTGTGACATTATTTATTGATTGGAAGAAGCTTGTGTGTCCAAACATGTTTTGAATGTTTTGTTCTAGTCAGAAAATGCAGCAATGAAAGTTTGGGCAGGACAGTAGACTTGATTCCCATATCTAACCTATTTCACGTGAGAGAGTGAAGGACTGTCTTAAAAATATACTTGCCTAGAAAAATAAATGGCTTGGAAAAGATGTTCATTATATCCAATCTTCTACCACTCTAGAAGCTTTCTCTACTGCATTTTCCAGCTTCCCCTTTACCACAGTATCTTTGAGTGGCTTCACTCTCTGGTGATGCTTTTAATTGAGAGACACACACATCAAAAGAAAATAGAACGTTAAAATCTGTTTTGTTTGCAAAGTTTACAAAAGTCTGACCGCCAGAGCTCAGGGTTTCCCTGCAGTAAGTGTTGGGATGTGTTACCACTGTGCAACCTGCAATGCCTTACTGCTTTCTTATAGACCTTCTCTCCATGCAGCATGTAAAAAGGTGGAGAGGAAAAGTCCAAGGACAGCCCTTAGAGGTGGTAGAATCTAGACTCTGGCCTTGTTTCAACAAATGATCCTGATCAAAGCACAATCTAATTAATCTGGTCTGAAAAATTATTTAAGCCTGTTTAAGACATTACATTGTTAACTGCCAGCAATAAACTATGCAGCCTTTTGCAGGCTGTGTGCAGATGTCCTTTTGCAGCTCTCGTTGTGCTAGTGTTAGGGGGAAAAACCCCAGCATGCCCTCAGCTGAAGAGGCAGTGATGGGCAGGGCAATGGGCAGCAGTAGCTGTCTGCCCAGGTGCTTGTGGAACATCTGTCCATGCCTAGCTTGAATGTCCACCCAAAGTCTCGAGTGAAAAAAGGAAAAGGCTCAGTAGTCGGTCAGCCTATCCTTAGGCAATAACAACATCTGCTGTACGCAGGAATTTAAACTGTGCTTAGGCTAGAGACCTCCAGAGTCCTTTGTCCTTTTCCACCTACGTCTTTCTAACATTCTGTGATTCTAATAAACCTGTAATTTTATTAGACCTGTCATTTTCTCCAAATCTCTACTGTTTTTTCTCTGGGAAGCTTATGGAAATTTACACTCTTATTTAAATGTCCTTCATGGTGAGTCAGATGGCACCTGAGATCACCTGTATAAATGTGTAGACCCAACCCTCTCATGCAACTCCCTGTGCTTTGCTCTATAAAGAATATGCGTACACTGTGGAGGTAAAGAATGAATAGGCCGTTCCTTTTTCTCTGGGATAATGAATAATTATTTGTCATAGCCCTTGAATGGGACATCAGGTCCTTCAAACTGTGGGTGAGTTTCCTCTCTCCAGACATATCAGCCCAGCAGAAGGTGCAAGTGCAGTGTGAGGACACCTCAACTGAAGTCTCTTATCATTCAGTTCAGTGGCTGTCAACACAGCACCTGTGAATTATTTTGAAGGTGTCCACAAAAGCCAAGATAGGACAACTATTATCATCAAGCCGTAATCTGCTGTTTTCCATCCCTCAGAGAGATGTCTGTGGGTACATCTCAGCCTCGCAAGAGACTGAGATACACTGATCATGCTCACACAGGTAACTGCAGCACTGACAATGTAGCTGTGCAGTTCCACCCCATCACAGCCCTTAAGTATCTGCTGAAGCAACTGGTTTGCAACCATGCCTGTGCCATTGCACCTGCTGTCCAGCCAGCACAGCGTGATCAGGAAGGCTGCAACCCTGTGTCTGGCTGCAGTAAAGATATCCTCTCTTTCAAGTCCTTGTTTAGTTTTACCAGTTATCTCTCCAGTTTTACCAGGTAGCTCTCCAGCTGCAAGGCAGGTATGAGTGTCCCAGCAGTACGTGGCACCCCTCCGAATGTTCCCAGAGGTCATCGCCAAATTGCTCTTTGTCATCCAAAGTGCAGTGCTGCTTGTTGCCTGTTACATGGACATCTCAAGGCACTTCCCTACCCCCGACCACTGAAATCCAAGCTCCTAAAACCCAGCTACGTCTGCATGTCATACTTCAGCAGTGCTGGCAGTATTCCAGTGCACAGGATGCTTGCTAAATGACATGGGCTTCATCTCAGATTTTCCTAAAAACATCACCACAAAGCAGAGATAAAAACTTGCTGAAGGAGATAGAGGGGACCTGAAAGGGGGCGGGCTTCCAAGATATCAAAAGATTTGGAAAGTGAAAGAAACTTTTTTCCCAAGCTTAACTGGCAAGAAAAAGGGGAGGGAAGGAGGATTGGGGGTAAAAAAGAAACAAACAAAAAAAAAGGTAATTGAGAGCTGAAAGAGATACAGATTGATAAATAGAAAATAGGGGAATGTTAGGCAAAAAGAAAACAGAGAGATGTGAATATATAAGGTAGGGAGCATGTTTCCTTCAAGGAAATGGGTTGATGAGGAGGGTCAGGTGTTGTGTAAGCCTCTTCTTTCCCATATTCACCCACTCTTGAGACCCTCCAGAAGCTCAAGGCTTTGGGAACAGAAGAACCTGCCACCACCTGGATCCCTGCTCAGGAAAGACTAAGCCCCAGCAGGGAATTCTGCAGCCGCTCAACTCCAGATGTTCACTTTAAAGCACACAACATGGAAAAGGACACACAGATGGGTTTGGGCCCACAGGGACAGGGGTATACCTTTCCACTTCCCCTACCCCAACGTCAGGCATGCACTGGTGGGAGAGTCACAGAGATCAAAGTAGGAGAGGGGCAGGAGAGGTTAAGCTTTCATAATATCAATAGCTCATCTCCCCTACCACCACCCCACTCTCTCACCATCCTGTCCTGCATAGAGGGGGTCCCCAACCTGCCTCCAGCAAGAGACTGAGGCCCTGCTTGTCCATTGCCCAGGTACGTCCTGGTTTGGTTGATAAGTTAGTGATGGTTGTGGTGGGCCATGGCACAAGGAGGTTGTTTTTTTCCTGGGGTAGCAGAGGCGACAGAAGTATGTGCTCCCCAGCTGTGAGAGGAGGGTGAGGGGAGCCAGCTGTGCTTCTCCCTTGCATTTCACAGGTTCACCAGTGGGATTCTGGGGGAAGAATGGAGTTGAAAAAGAATTAGAGATGGTAGCTGCTCATACTTCCACTGCCCTAGAGCCCCCATTAACCAATGCTGCTTTGTCCATATGGGCACTTCTCAGAGTCACCGCCTTGCCCTTCCTTCACCGGCGTTTCCCTTGCTCCCTTGCCACTCCCACACTCCCTTTCCCTCTCCAGCTTGCTGACATCCCTGAGGACACTCACCGATTGAGCTGGAAGGCAGCACTCTTCCCGTGGCCCCCCAGCTTCTCCATGCCCTCCTGGCCCTGTCTGCATTCCTCTGCCTCCGGTGTGGGGGCCAGCGAGTCACTGTAGGGCCCCAAAATGCTGACAGTGGTGGGGGACAGGTCCGTGAGGGGCTGCTGGCTCTCCTGCTGCCTGACCCCGCTCTGCTGCCCAGAGTGACGCCGGCGCTTCTGGTTACGGTCCCAGCTTTGGAGAAAGAGGAGCAGTGAGACACGGTACCTGTCCAGACATGCCTCAGCCCTCAGTGACAAAGGGTTTCACAGGACTCTGTCACACTCAGACTGGGGCTTGTTGGAGCCACGCACCAAACCTCCTGAGGGCTTATGGCACCAGATCTGCACCCCTACGTCTACGGCCTTCCTCCTCCAAAAAGGTACACAGCCCTCACACCTAAGGACACCAAGGGCGCTCTCAGAGTGTTAGTCGAAACAACATCTGTTTTCCCAAGCCTCACTCACCAGAACTTGAATATGATGCCAGTGGCAACCAGGACAATGATGATGGAGATGGTGATGGTGACGTAGAGTTGGGGGTCCACACCTGTGAGACGGAGGAGGGAAGGAGGGAATGTAAGAGACATGTCAATCCCTGGAGGAGGACAGCTACATAAGGGGACCCCCTTGCTGGGGCACTTCAGCTTGCACAGAAAGAGCTGTCCCTGTGAGGAGAGGGGCGAAAGAAGCAAAAAACAGATTTACCTTCACCCCGTGGTCCAAACAAGAAGGGGCGCAGCGTGGCTGGGGTCTCGCGCAGGTTGAGGCCTGCGTTGTGCAGGAGCGAATGGGAGTTGGGCTGAGCTGTTGCCATCCCGTGTGGTGAAACGAAGGTGTAACCCAGTGGAGGGAAGCCTGGGTTGGCAGAGTTGGTGTCTCCTCCATCCTCATCCGATACTGTGGGGCCCCACACGATGGCCCAGGGATATTGGGAGGAGGGCATGCCATCCTCAAAACCGGATGGGGTGGCGGGACGGGCCCCCCCAGCCTGGCGCCTCAGCCGCACGACATGCCGCAGCTCTGCGCTCCGGGAGGGCAGGGCCCGCTGGCGCGGGAGGAGGAAGCGCAGATCCCTCTCCGGCAGTGAGATCCTGTCCCAGATGCAAATGGGCCGAGGGGCAGAGGGACTTCTACGGGCACAGAGAGGCCGAGTGGCCACGGAACCCCGAGAACGAAGAGACCAAACAGCAGGAAGAGGAAAGGCTGAGAGCAGAAGCAGGAAATGCCACAGCTGGAATGAGTGGATGCAGGAAACCAGTGGAAGCATCATGCTGTGGAGGGGAGAAGGAAAAAGAGAGTTATCCAAGATGTCTTTCCTCCTGAAAAGGCCAAGCTGGGAGTAGCTGAGAGCAGCCCCACCACCCACGCTCCTGTCTTGTTCTTGTGTTACTGGTTGACGTGGGAAGCTGTGAACCTACCAGGCACTGAGCTCCATCTTGGATGCAACAATGTCTTCGCTCAGCAAGGATCCTCTCTCATGGTCTTCACTGAGAGGCAAAAGAGAGAGAGAGATTTAACCGCATCCCTGTGACAACTGTTCAGCCACCTTGAAAACTTGACCCCAGCTGGCAGAGCAGTGCAGAGCCCTCACGCATGCACATCTGCCCTCCTTAGCCTGCTGTGCTCACGCACTCTCCTGTACAGAGACGCATCTCCCCCAAATGCCACACAGAAATGCACACATTGGCATATGCATATGAGAACAACTATCAGTCTCTAGGGCACATGTGCTGGGACACATGCACAGTCTCCCTGGAGACCCTCCTGTCCGAGAAGCAAGACAGGAGTTCAGCATTTTTGTTTGCTTATCGCTAGAACAAGTTGGGACCTTAATTCCTGGGTTTATTTATAGTGTAGAGCGTGTAATCTATTTATTAAGAAAGATTCTCTTCATTGTGTGTCACAGCGAGGGAGAGAGAGGAGAAATACAAGAGTGATAAAGAAAGAAGACTGTGAAAGAGAGGATGAATCAGGGAGAAAAGTCCAGCCTCACTAAAGAATTTAAGACCAAAAATATGCTTATCAAATATTTAATATTTACATTTCTCTTGGCAAACATGGAATTACCTTCTCACACTCCCTGTTTTAGTGTCCTCTCCAGTGCTCCAGCCCTCTCTTTCTCCCCAGTTCTCTCTCACCTCCCATCCCTGAGTAGCGCTAGCAGCGCAGGTTAGCGCAGAACAGGAGCTGATTACCGAGGCTGGATTTCTGTGCTGGCCACACGCCACCCTCTGGCATCACAGTTAAGCTACAGCCAGGCTGCCCTTCATGCTGTCTGCCCCTTTCATTTGGCAGGGCACGGCACAGCCTCGGTCCTTCCCTGATGAGCTATTATGTGCCTGACCCAGGATTCTCGCCACCACAAAGACCTCATGCACGAAAAAATCATTCAAGATATTCAGCTTGTTCCTGCATTGTGAAAAGGAAAGCATGAACACCAGCAACCCACATCCCTGCCCTTCCACAGCTACTGGGATAGAGAAGAGGGGGTCCTTGGCCAGGGGAGTTCAGATGGGAGTCAACGCAAAGACCAAAAACGCTGTCAATGCCACGCTTGAGAAAACCGTGTTCTACCCTGAAGCACTCACAGCTCACAAGGAGTTACTACCATCCCCTCCTGCTTAACTCAAGTGATTAACT